CCGAATGCTGGTCCTCGCTTGATATAGTTTATGCGACTTTGGCAAGTCACACAAGCTCTAATGTCGCACTTCATTGCGTTTAGAATAATATTTGCATAAATACGCAGATTAGTCGCGGGGAGGGGGGAGATAGCAATAGAATTCATTTCCTTCGTGGAAAAAAAATAAATTTATTAAAAAATAAACATTTATTTTTCTTTCCAGGAGATAAACATGAACACTTTATCAAATTTTTTTTATCTTCAATGCGCATTGATTCAAGAATAATAATGATTACAAGTCAAGTTTGTGTGTGAAGCTACTGAAATTGTTATTGATTTAATTGATAAATTTAATTATTTTCCATGAAAAAATGTCTCATGAATAATTCAGGAGTTTTAGAATTTCATATAACTGTTTCAAAACCTTCACAGGTTTTGATTGCTTATTCTTATACATATTGTCAATGAAGGATGACTCTATAGTAAAAATAACTACTAAGTATTGTTTTAATGTTCTAAATCTGTACAATAACTTAGTCAGCTAGTATACCTTGTTTGTTAAAGTTAAATTTTATGTTCTAATGTACCTTTTTTGGTATTTATGGAATAAAGAATTATTATGAAAACAGCCTGTGGCTATTAGGTATAAATGTAACTTTTTTACCTTTTAAAATAGAGTGTGTGTTAAAAAATGGAGAGTTATTGTTCAGTAAATATACCAACACTTGGGTTAAGAATTTAAGTGTCATTTTTGGTGTCTGATCAATATTTGTATCCAATTGATTACTAGATGGTGAATACTTTATCAACCCTTTAACCGACAATCGTACATATTTGTACAATTTACATAGGTCACTCTTTAAAAAAATAGCATTTCATCAGTTTAATAGTCATGGTATTAACAATGGTTTGTTTGTGTTGTCTACTAAATTCTATGATTGTTACCTCCTAAACTAAGCATCCTAGGCCTTGTTTGCAGAGAATATAATCACTTTAATGAGGGCAAAATCGGACTTGCACACTTTTACATGTAGACAAGAACACCCAAAAAATCCATTTTAGGAATTAAAATTCCTCTCCAATTTTCATTCATGCCAGAATTCAACCTTTGCAGGAAAGTTTGGCCCTTCCGTTTTGCAAACATTGGTCTTTTGTACACAATTGCATCAAGCAAGCCATGAAACAGCACTTTCTTTAGGGTACACTCAATTAGGCAAGTGTTTCTTTGAACTTCACTCGCAAAGAATTGCGGAAAAAAAATTTAAAAAACGATTTTTCCTGTGTTTTGACCGAGGTGATCGCTAGCTAAAGCCACAAACAAAAATCTAACAGGCATGAGCCTTCAGTTGTCATTAACAGCACCAGTTTCTTTGATGACCAAAATCAGGAAACAAAATCAGGCCTGGTTCGTATGTCAAGCCAGCGTTGCGCCAAACCAAATAGTTTGATTTTTTAGTGAATAGCACGACATATGAATCAATTAAGTTCGGTGTAACCGTAGAATGACAGAGTTTTTATTGTTCCGAACTTAACACACAAAAATATCTGTTTTCAACAATCCGACGTATCCGATTGCATGTTATTGAACATTTTCTTATACCTTTGACTGAATCTGGTCTGATGTATGAATTAAAGTCAGACTAAATGTATTTGGGTCAAATTCAAACTATTTTGTTTCGACACACCAATAGCACAACATATGAACCAGGGATCATTTTTTGAATCTTACTATCTTAAAAGAAGTAAAAATTCTCCAAAATATCTGGAGTGCCAGTTCAAGGGTTAACTGAATCTGCAAAATTGGATGTGGATTTAACCTATAGTATTACATTTTCTCTAAAAAAAAACAATTTGTCTGTCAATAGATGTTTTAAACTTATGATTGGACTATTAGCTAAGAGCATACTAATATCAGTTATTATTTGCAAGAGTTTATTAAATGGTCTTCAAACAGATTGCTGCTCTACTTGATCTTCTTATGACACTGTTAGTCTAGGAAAATGTGAGTGCTTGTTCTGGTTTGGGTGCTTACATGCCCAAGCTTATTGCCTGAGTACTATTGGTTTACAATCAAGTATGCATGGCTCTCATGCACACAGGTTGATTAATTATAAATTCAATCTTATGTACCTACACATGGTTATTCATGAATGCTGTTGCATAAAAATTTAAATATATAAAAAAAATCAGGTTCACTCAAGCCACTTCAACTCATGGTTAAATGGTTAGGTTTTGGGAAATTATAGTGTTTACTAGACAATGAATAGGGCTATGGTTAATTTTACAAAACTATTCTCCAGCCTAGATAATGTATGTTGTTTTACATTTAATACTTTTGTTTCTCTACCTGATATTGATGTGATATTTAATAAGAAATGCAACAGGCATATTTGTTTATTTTCTTTAGTCAAGAAATTGTGGCCCTCCCTCTAAAACTTGTCCCGAATATTTTAAACCCTCCACACATTCAAAAAATTATTTAGTCCCCCCCCTTTCACGTGGTCCTACTGTGCCAATCAATTCAAAACAAAAACACCTAGCACATAGAACTACAAAACAATACCTAGAAAACATAAGCATTTACTTGAATTAAAGTTTCAAGACATCTAAAATGCATGGAATTTATTGCAGGTTTAAAGACCATTTTGTGTAGGAAATGTATCTAAACTGCAGTCTTGCTTTGATGTAAAGTCTTGGTTACCTTTTAAGATAGTGCTGCGAACTGTAAATAATGGGGTATTGCGCTTACCTTTTTCACGTACCACACTACAACACCCACTATGGCTATTAATACCAGTACTCCAATGACGATACCAACAATTTCCCCAGGTCCTAAGGGAGATGTTTTATTTGTTGTTGTTTTTGTTGGTGTTGCTGCTGTTGTTGTTGTTTTAGGCTTATCTAAAGAGTAGAAGAAAGCAATGAAATATTCATGCAAATTACTATCACTATGAATAGAAAACTAGTTAAATTTCCATTAGAATTAATTTAAAACGGATTTTATGGATATTTGTTTTGCATTTTCAAAAGTAATGTCTTTGTAATAGTCATTAAAAAATGGTTACTAGAGTCCAATAAGGTTGCAGTTGTATTTTAATGGTCTTTTAATGATAATTAAAATAAAACTGTTGTTAAAAATTCATTACAAGATGCAAAGCGAAAGTAACAACTTTTTAATGGCAATTAAAAGCCATTAAATATACAAGGTTTAAAGGGGCCATTAAATAGTCACTACAAAATCAATTCACAAAAATTAAGAATTTCTTTATTGGCCATAATAAATGAACTTCCATTAATAGCCCATTAGAAAGTGGGAAGTAGCAAATTTTTAATGACAATTAAAATAAAGGAATTTTTAAAGTATATTTCATGTTCTGTGGTTTATATTGAAGGAAAGAAATGATTAAATTTGGACTACTTTCTATCTTGGCTAAAAATGACATTTCCCAATATTTCGAACTTTGGTCATTCTGTACAGAAAAAACAAAGGTAACCCAGGCTCAATAACTTAGTATAAAACATGTTGTTTGTACAATTTTTTTTGACTAAATAATATTATTCTAACATAAAAAAACAAGCATAGAGTACTTCTTGTATAAGTGAGTTGACGTGTTCAAACTGAATGCAAACTGCTTCGACTGAAATTAAACTGGTATTTTCAACAACAACACTGTGAAGCACTGATTACTGCATTAATTATGTAAAATTGAATGGAGCTCTAGTTGAGCAAGAGAAAACAAAAGAATTAGCATAAAACTGTTTAAAAATAGTATAACGACCTTTTTACGTATGTAGTGTTTTATTAAGGCTTTAAATTAAGTAGAGCAAGTTTTCCCTGCGAGAGCGGCTGAGGTCCTATTGGTTGCTTTCGATTGTACCCTCCCCTGCCTCGTCTTGCAATTGTTGAGCAATGTCCCCTGTAGATTCAAAATGTTTATTGCCAATCCACTTTGAGAATACTCTCTTCTTTTGGGACCCCTGTGCCTCCAGACCAAATTAGTTGTAGTCAGCATTACTTTAAACCCAATATTAGAATTCAACGGCCGATAAAAATAACTTCCCGAAAAGCAATTAATTGAAGAAAAGCTTCAAAAGAATCTTTGGCATATCAAAAATGGCGTAAAACCTCTTAAAACGAAAGATTTTCAATCAGGAAGGTAAGAGACCTTTTATTTATGTTAGAATAATATTATTTAGTCAAAAAAAAAAAAAAATGTACGAACAACATATTTTATAAGTTATTGAGCCTAGGTTACCTGTGGTAAAACTCCCAAACCAGGCCCACTTAGACAAATAAGCATTATTAACTAATCACATTAGAACATGCTAGCTAGAATGCACATCCCTTATTTTTCACATAAGCCAATCACACATGCTTAAGAAAGGCACTTCCATTATAGCTATCACAAAGTGTGCAACAAAAGAACATTCAACAAGAAAACAACCTCGGACAGAGCAAACGAAGCGAAAAAAGCCCACCACAAGTGAGAATGGCAAACTGAGCATGACTATCAATGGTCACCTGCTTTTTTGAACCAATGAGACAAGCTCATTCTATACCCTGTACCAGAATACCTTGCCAAAGACAATCTTTCCGGAGTAATTATATAAAGATGGAATGAGTGTTTCACATTGTAAACAGACTGTTTTTGTAATGTTTGCCAAGGTAAAAGTTTTATTTCCTACTACTTTGTCAAATGCCACCAAGAAAAATGTGGTGATTCATGAAGTATAAAGTGTCAGCGACTCAGTTATTAATATTATTGTTATTAATTGTTAATATTACTAATTATCAGAGATTAATATCTTAGTTGGATAATCCTAATCTAATGATAAGCTTATCATTGTTTTGATTTTCTGTCTAATTTCTTGATGCTTTTTTTGATTTGTACTGGCAAAGTACACAAAAAAAACTAACCACCATGACCACCATAACCACCACTTTGGGATTGGGTAATCTTCGAGTTACGGGATTCAAGTTACGCACTTTTCGAGTTACATGCTTGACCACGCCCAGATTTGTCTTGGTCACACCCAGCGCATAACTCGATGCAGCTAATATACATTGTGTCTTCGAGTTATGCGTTTTAAATCAAAATCAATATAAAAAAACTCGATGTCATGCAATCTATGTACATGTATTCTTTAATTTATAAATAAACAGGATCACGCCATTTCTTCACAAATTCACGTAACAATAGTGTTTTGTGAATATTTTTCTAAAAAAAAGAATGATGTTCTTTAGAGTCCAATTTTAGACATACCTCATAGTTAATCTAACTATGCATACATATACACTGTAAGTTGAAGTATTACACTCTTCGTTCTGTCTTTATGACCTTGACATAAAAGTTGACAAAATGATTTTAAATGGTTGAAAGCTTTTCTTTCGGCAGAGGAAGTGATGATATCCTTCCTATCTAAAAGAGCTGATGGAATCTTTACCAAGAAGAAGGACCAGGGCAGAGTTGAGCTGAAATTCATCTTCGGTTCAAAGCCCGCCATAGAGAGCATTAGAAACTACTTTTTTCTGACCAAGGATGATGAGAAGAAGCTAAACAGCTTTATGATGAGTACCACATAACATACATGTGAGTTTTCCTAAACCCTACATTTTTAAATGTTAAAAAGTGTTTTAAAATATGTACATTGGGATGATTACATGATAAATCCAGCTAGCAGGATGCCATGCTAGCTGCTGCTGCTGTACATGCTTTTTAAAAAACACTGACTTCTGCATAGCTAAGTGCTTGTATTGTTTAAGTGCAATATTTTAAGCCCCAAGCTGCTGCCTTTACCTTTATCACCAAATATCTCCTTAATGGCAAGTGATGGGCAAACATTCTAAGCCAAGAGTTCTAGATAATTAACTTAAAAAGGATATGAAGCTATAACCGACTTTTGAAACATATGTTCTAGTTACCCCATTTTCAATTTAATTTCTTCCCATTGAAATGCCACGTGACATGCGACCATCCGATAAATGTTCTGGCACTCTTAAAACTMTCAAAACTACAAACACACAAAGTTTTATCAAAAGAGCTTGAAATTTGACTGGAATACTACATTCGGGGCTGTGTGTTGGTCAAAAGGTCAAGACACTAATGATCTACATCCCTGAATAATGATTGGCCAGAGTTTTGCGCCAAAATTTCGGTCCCTGTGATTCGTTTCCCGAAAGCGTGTGTAGGATAGTAAGCTAGGTGAAGCTAGGAGGGGTTGATGTAAGTGAAGTTTAGTCAATTGAAAATCAGTTGGCAGTCACTTTTTATTAATTTGCAGATGTTTATGGAATGTAAACCTTGAAATTATATATGTCTGGTACTCGTGCAGATAAACACGGCCGAAAACCAAAATATCACTATACATTTTATGGAAATGACAGATCGTAAAAATGCAGAATTCATGACATCAATAATCAACTGAAATCATAAAAATAATCACTAGAGATTTTCGCCGTTCAACAGTGATCCTGTCTTGAGTGAGTGAACATGCATGGTCACAAATGCCTATTCCACTAGAAGGTAAGTTTGTGCTCTATGAAAAAATGCCTATTCCACTAGGTATTTTTGTGTGCTCTATGAAAAAAATGCCTATTCCAGGTATTTTTGCGCTCTCTATCAACAGTGAGCCATAAACGCTTCACTATCATGAATTTCATATTAAAAAGGACACATTTATGCCTATTCCGGTAGGTATTTTTTGTGATACTATAAAAATACCGAATAAGAGGTGAACAGCGATTGCCGTCACAGGTAGCCCATCGTTTCCTTTTTTCCTTCAGTCAGTATGAGAATCGTGGCAACTAATGTAAGTTGACCAAGACCCCACACACTGGAAAGAGCACATGAAGTTAGTCGTATTGTTTCAGAGAACTTCGGTGCCGGCATTGCAAGTCACAATGACGATCGATTGGTAGTCAAATGCACCAAAAATACAATCCTGGACAAAACCTGTTGAGACACTGGCATTCTTCACCCGGGATTGTAGTTAGTTCGAGTAGTAGATAACATCAAAATATGACATAACTAATGATAATACAAAAGCCTTGGTTCATGATTTAGTTACTAGTCGTGTTGACTACTGTAACTGTCTACTCTATGGCCTGCCTGATAATCAGCTGCAAAACCTTCAGCGTGTCCTTAATACTGCTGCCCGTCTTGTGTACCAGGCAGAATGTGTTCTTATATTTATGGTACTTTATTTCCTAAAATCAGGCCTGGGTGTTCTTAATCCACTTGTTCTTACATGCAGGTTTTTACTGTACCTCGTGATTGTAGGTTATGGTAAGTAAGATCGCGTATTCACACTTAAAAATGTAAACGATCAAAGTCACTTATCAAAAACCACTTATCAAAAACTACAGGGCAGGTCTTAAAAAATCAGGTTAATACAAATATTTCTGAAAGTGTTATATAAAAAGTTTTAAGCGTAGAAATATGATTTAGCTAAATGTTGCTAACATTTGATGTACGGATTACTATAATTATACCACAAATCTGATGCTAAGATTTGATGTTACAAATATCATAGATTAGCAAAATATCACTTGCCAGATGTTAAAATTTATAATTGCTCATAATGTTCACACTGTTATCATTTAACTCGATCATTTGTGACTTACTTGTTCCACTTGAAGTTTCATTTGATGGTGTTACTGAAAGATAAATAACACACCAGTAAACATGTTGATGCATGTAAAACACATTACTTTAATGTGAGGATTTGGAAATTAGCACGAATAATTCAAGAATTATGGGTTCATCTACTGGTATCTAGGGAACATGAACAAGGGGCCGTTTGGCGTGCGCATGCGCCAGTCTGTTGAAAATTCATTGAAATTCATTAGTGATTCACTTCAAGCGAGAAATTACAACGACACGAAGGACAATTTCCAAAAATGTTTTTGGCTGTTTTTGACCATGAAATGTTCTGTCATGACTCAAGAACACTCATAAATAGAGTAACCTACAATGAGGAAAAACACTGGCGTTATTGGACTGATTGGGACCGTTTAAAATCTTATTTAAGAAATGTTGATATTAATGACTTTGTGTTTACAATATGGAGGCTGCAGTGGTTTATATACGCAACTACTATTCCAGTTTTTGCTGAKTGMTRRYCAAGATTYAACGCAGGTYATGAAGTAAATGGTAAATGTACACATGTAGTAATATATATATGTGCACAAATAATTCACTACATTTTAACGGTACAAAGTGGCTTCGTGTTATAAATCTAGCCCGAGACTCACAGTAATTTATATAAAGTTTGAAAGATATTCGTGTGCATTGTAAATATATCTACTTGGTTTTGTTTGAAAAAAATGTGGAAGATAAGTAAAAACATCAATTATGTTCAGAATCCAAGCTTCCGCAGCTACTACAATGTTATTCTACCCATATTCTAGAGCCCATGGTCGTTATAACGCAGCGGTTGCGCGCATGCTCATGCATAACGGCCTCTTGTGCCCATTGACCACCTGACTCACAAAATCTTGTTAAAATTATCCTGCCTATGTTATGTCCATTTTACATTAGATGGGAGATTTAGAGAGAGATAACACAAGTATCTGATGTTTCAGAGTCATCTTAACAAATATCTATCCAAACAAATATTAATAAAAAATTCACGATTATGCGGCAATATTGCAAAAAAAAAACTTTCTGATGTTTTATAATTTTTGTTATTTAATTTTTTGTGACATAAAAATCATTTCACGATTTTATGATTCTAAGGCATTTATTATCTAAAGACAAGCGTCGATTTAAAACCGGCACGTTTATTTATGTCCGCCATGTCTTTTTTTTTGCCTGTTCAATAGGTAAAGTGCGTCAGGATACCTGTTGTAGTTCAGGTTCAATATGATTTTGAGCCAGTCCAATATAACTCAATCTAGTACAAATCAGTTCAGGGTTAGGTTTATGTTTAGGGTTAGGGTTAGGTTTTGGGTTAGGTTTAGGGTTGGGAATAGGGTTGAGCCAGCATTATATAAATTTAAAATGTTCTTCATTAATAAACAATTAAGATAAAAACAATTTGCAAACATTACTACCAACAAAATCCTTGATGGTATAATTGGTAGTACTGTGGACTATGAAGCAAGAATTCAGTGGTTCAAACCCTGATGAAGGTATTAAATTAAAGTGTTATTCATAAATTAAAAATATAGAAAATATCAATATCTCTGTGGGGTATAGGGTAAGATAAAGTAGGAAATAGTAGAAGGTAGAAAATAAGATGATAGATAGAAAATGGGAGAGAATGAGATGGGATATAGTTCTTTTTGTTCTTTTAAGAATGCCAAAGCAAAAAAGAAAAAAAAAAGAAAAAAAAGAAAAAAGATCAGTACAAGAAGTCTTGTACTGGAACAAATTAGATTAAACTGGTTCAAAAATATATTGAACCTGAACTACAACATACCTATTGAATACAATTAGGTAAAAGTTATCAATACCTAGGTATTATGACTAGGTATTATGAACATAGTACCTATATGAATTACGGTCATCTCGCCCCATTGCCATCTCGCCCCCACCATCTCGCCCCCACTATTCCATCTCGCCCCCACCATCTCGCCCCTACTTTGCCATCTCGCCCCACCATCTCGCCCCAATATTATATATCTGTTAGTTCACATTTCAGATGTTATTTATGTGATTCTAGCGCGATGTATGTGATTTATTACATATCAGGAACAAGTCTTGAATACACTTGCTTGTTTATTCAAGCGGCAACTGGTGTTGTTGTTGTCGTTCGATCGAAGGTTTATACCGTGCAGCTAATACGCAGACTTTTTATTCGAGCTTTAGTTGTGATCGAGAATGTTAGTAAACTAACAAGCTCTCCAATCAGTCTGTTTACGTCGAAAAATGCAACTAACTTCTTTGGATTTTGTTTATCCAAGTCTTTGAATTAAGTCAAGCCTTAACACAGATTGAATACACTTGCTTGTTTATTCAAG